GTATCTATAAGAACAATTAAAGGAACGGGCCATGAATTTGAAAGAGCATAGGAAGTCTAGGAGGAAGGAAAGGTAAGGAGGAAATGATGTAATTATAATCTCAAAAATCTTAAAAAAAAATAAGAAATGCAAGGAGGTAGATAAGTGGACAGGGAGGCCTAGTAAGTGGCGTACATCAAGGACTTGACACTCAAAGCTGAGGAAATTTAGGGAACAGAGTCTGGTCTTTGTAAGAAGTCCGGCATCGACACCAGAGCAGGACAGCAGAGTTGGTGAATACAGGATGCTTGCTCGTGCACGTGCACACACACACACACACACACACACACACACACACACAAGCTTAGTCACTGTGAGGAGAGCCATAAAGGGCCTGAGACTAGAAGGCTCAGAGGCAGCTCTCAGGAAACAGCAGACGAGGAAGGTGCAGGGCAATAGGAGAACCAGGTCATGGGAGTCGTCACATGTCCCTAGAGGAGTACAACACATGGCAGCCGTGTTCAGTTTGCCCAACAGGCAAACTTTGATTTCATACCTTGTGGACAGGGAAAGTGGTAAAGACAGGGAGATATCACCAAAGATACAGACTAAGGATTTCCCAGGGTCTTCACAGGAAGCTGGATCCAGCAGAGGGTGGGGACTAGGAGTCTCTGGCACCCAGCTACTGGGGAAATGGTTTTAGGGAGTGGGGCTGCTTCTCTCAGTAGGTGCAGACACCTGGTTTTAGGACTAGAAAAGTGTTGCTAAGGAGGGAACTAAGGGCCAGTGGAGGCGACCTCTCCTTCACAGATGCTAAAGAAGAGCAAACACACACACACACACACACACACACACACACACACACACACACACACACCATTTATGATAGGCCAAGCACTACCTCAGCAGCTCATGTGGCTACTTGGCTGTCCTTAGATGCAATCTCTATGTGGGTGATCCTGTTACCCTGGTTTGATAAAGACCGGAACACAAAAGGTTAAAGCCTGTCTGTAGAAGAGCTGTGATTTAAGCCCAGACACTCTGACTCCAGAGAACATCAAGACTACAACCGATTAACACTCGGGAGGCTGAGGGGAGGATGGAGAGTTCCAAGCCAGCCTGAACTACAAAACCAAAGCCAGGCCCTGCCCTGGGGTTGGAGAGATGGATCAGTGGAGAAGATTGAATGAGGCTCTTCCAGAAGACCAACTTTGGTACCTACACTGGATGGCTCACAACCGCCTGTAACTCTGGCTCTAGAGGGATCTGGAGAAAAACGGACTCAATAAACAAAAATAAGAAAACAACAGAAGAGAAATAACCTTAAAGCTAAGACACTACTGAGACTACATATACAT